AAAACACCTGCCAGCCAGAAATCTTTCTGATTGAGAGGAGGTCAAATACTTATTTCCTTACATTGTTGTTATTCTGTCTCCAACTGGTCAAGTAAACCTACCATTAAAATTATAGACTGATCATTTCTTGGTCAGTGGGCAAACGTACAAAATCAGCAGGGGATCAAATACTTTTTTGGCACAGTAGGGGGCACAGGTGATGCATCAGCCAGGCATCTGTCATCTCAGTCAGTCGACCCGTGGCACCTGGGTCTGCCCCGTGACCTCCTGCCAGTGGGCGTTCGACACTTCACGTGGCCTCAAGGTGCACATGGCCTGGCACAAGCGTCGTGGTGGCATCACCGCCACTTAGTGGCGAATAACGGTTGTTGTTGTTGTGACAGAGTCTGTGTCTCTCTGTGTGACTTTCTGTATGAGAGACTGTGTTTCTGTCTGTGAGTCTGTTTATCTCTGTGTGTGTGAGAGTCTGTCTCTCCATTGTGAGTCTGTGTGTGAGTCTGTGTGTGTGTGGGGAGCGGTAGTGTAGCGGTTAGCACACTGCGCTATGAACCTGGCGACACAGGTTCGATTCCCGCTCGCGGTCAACACCAATGACGATTATCTGAACCGGTCCTGGGCCTCCCAGGACCACCCACCCCCTCGTGTGCCGAGCCAGCCTTTATAGGTGCTCGCTAACAGCACTTGCCACTACAGTCCGTTAAGGCTATACGGGGGATCTTTGTCTTTTGTGTGTGTCTCTCTGTATGAGAGACTGCTTCTGTCTGTTTATCTGTGTGTTTCTGTATGTGTGTGAGTCTGTTTCTCCGTTGTGAGTCTGTTTCTGTGTGAGTCTGTGTGTTTGTGTGAGTCAGCAACTCTCTGTTGTGTCTCTCTGTATGAGAGTCTGTGTGTCTGTCTGTGTATGTGAGAGTCTGTCTCTCCGTTGTGAGTCTGTGTGTGAGTCTGTGTGTGAGTCTGTGTCTCTGTGTGAGTCTGTTTATCTCTGTGTGAGTCCGTGTCTCTCTGTGTGTTTGTGTGAGTCCGTGTCTCTCTGTGTGTTTGTGTGAGTCAGTAACTCTCCGTTGTGAGTCTGTGTGTGAATCTGTGTCTCTGTGTCTCTCTGTATGAGACTGTGTTTCTGTCTGTGAGTCTGTTTATCTGTGTGTGTCTCTGTGTATGAGTCAGTGTCTCTCTGTGAGTCAGTAACTCTGTTGTGAGTCTTTGTGTGTCTGTGTATATATGAGTGTGTGGAGAGCGGTGGTGCAGTGGTTAGCGCTATGCTACGCTATGAATCCGGCGACCGGAGTTAGATTCCCGCTCATGGCTAACACCAGTGACGATTATCTGAACCGGTCCTGGGCCTCCCCTAGGTCGACTCAGCCTCAAATGAGTACCCAGTACAGTGTGTAAACATTGCCACTAGGGAGGTCAAGGCGGTGGGGAGTGGTGCTGGCCACCCACCCCCTCGGATATTTGTCTCTGTGAGTCTGTCTGAGTCTGTCTGTGTGTGTCTCTGTAAGTGCGCGTCTATGTGTGTGTGTCTGTGTCTCTGGCTATGTGTGCGAGTCTGTGGGTCTTTGTGTGGGTGGGTCTCTCTTTGCGAGTCTGTCTCTCTGTTGTGTCTCTCTGTTGTGAGTCTGTGTGTCTCTCTGTTGTCTGTGTCTGTCTGTCTCTCTGTTGCGAGTGTGTCTGTGTCTCTCTGTTGTGTCTGTCTGAGTCTGTCTGTGTCTCTCTGTTGTGAGTCTATGTGTGTGTCTCGGTGCGTCTCTCTGTTGTGTGAGTCTCTGTATGGGTATCTGTGTATGTCTCTATGGCTGTCTGCGAGTCTGTGGCTCTGTGTGTGGGTGGGTCTTCCTTTGTGAGTCTGGCTCTCTGTGTTGTCTCTCTGTGTGAGTCTGTGGTGTGAGTCTGTCTCTCTGTGAGTCTGTGCGTGTGTCTGTGTGTGGGTCTGTCTCTCTGTGAGTCTGTGTGTCTTGTGTGGGTCTGATTCTGCTTGGGGATGATGTGGCTGGGTTTGCGGGCTGCGACGTGACCCAGCCAACGCAGCCTCACCTGCCGGAGGAGCTGATGATGGGGACTGTGTCCAGATCTACGAAACATCTGTGGGCGACTCGCACACTCCAGTGATTGGTTGGATAGCAAGGGCAGTCCATCTCTTCTCCATTCCCCCCCCACCACTCCATCCACCATCCCAATCACAATGACTCATCTGAGACCCCCCGAGGGCTACGGGCTATTGCAGCTCTCCACTTTGCGAGTCTCCTTGTGTGTCTCTGTGCGAGTCTGTCTGTGTGCGAATCTCTGCGCGAGTCTGCGTTTTCGTGCGAGTCTGTGGCTCTCTCTGTGCGAGTCTGTGGGTCTCCGTGCGAGTGTGATTCTCTGTGTGCATATTTGTGTCTGTGTCTGTGCGAGTCTGTGGCTCTGTGTGAATCTCTGTGTGAGTCTGTGTCTCTGTGCGAGTCTGTGGCTCTGTGTGTGAATCTCTTTGCGACGCTCTCTGTGTGAGTCTGTGTGTCTCTGTGCGAGTCTGTGGCTCTGTGTGAATCTCTCTGTGTGAGTCTGTCTCTGTGCGAATCTCTCTGTGTGAGTCTGTCTCTCTGTGTGAGAATCTTTCTGTGTAAGTCTGTGGCTCTGTGCGAATCTCTCTGTGTGTCTGTGTGAGAATCTCTCTGTGTGAGTCTGTGGCTCTGTGTGTGAATCTCTCTGTGCGAGTCTGTGGCTCTCTGTGTGTGAATCTCTCTATGTGAGCCTGTGTCTCCGTGCGAGTCTGTCTCTCTGTGTGAATCTATCTGTGCGAGTCTGTGGGTCTCCGTGCGAGTGTGTGGCTGTGTGTGAATCTCTCTGTATGAGTCTGTGTCTCTGTGCGAGTCTGTGACTCTCTTTGCGAGTATGTGACTCAGTGTCTCTGTGCGAGTCTGACTCTGTGCTTGTCTGTGACTCTTGTGTCGCTGTGCGAGTCTGTCTGTGAATCTGTGGGGCTTCGTGCGAGTCTGACTCTGTGTGCTTCTGTGCGAGTCTGTCTCTCTGTGTGTGAATCTCTCTGTGCGAGTCTGTGGGTCTCTGTGCAAGTCTGTGACTCTCGGTGTGTCTCTGTGCGAGTCTGTGGCTCTGTGTGAATCTCTGTGCGAGTTTGTGGGTCTCTCTGCGAGTCTGTGGCTCTCTTTGCGAGTCTGTGATTCTCTGTGCGAGTCTGTGCGAGTCTGTGAGTCCGTGGCTCTCTGTGTGCGTGAAACGGCAAAAATGCACTGCAAGTGGCCACGTGGAATGCTCGAACGCTCACTCCGTGGTATTCAGGCGGTCCGCTGGATTGGTTCTGGCTCCTGTCACCATAAGGTGGACAGTCCTCTACTCGGAGCAGGAGACTGCCAAACAGGGAGTCGCTCTTCTTCTGAACAAAAAAATGAAGGGGGTGTGGTGAGGCGTGGGAAGCTGTCAGCCCCCAGGTTAGTTGGCTCACCTCCCCATCAACTAGAGGCGATGAATGGTAGTGGCTTACACCCCTCCATCGAAGCTGAACATCAGTGGAGGGATATAAGCCAAGACCGATGGATCAGGTGCCTTCTATAACCTCCTGTCAGAGGTGCTGGCTAAAGTGGCCCCTCGGGAGAGTCATCCTTTTGAGTGACGTTAATGTCCGAGTGGGTCATGATGCTGGCACCTGGGCTGGAGTGATTGGAAAGCATGGGCAAAAATCAGCTCAATAACGATCGGAGGCTGCTCGACTTCTATGCAGCCCGTTGTGACCGCCACAAAGTGCCCGGTGACGTCATCATGGCGCCTGTGCCAGGCTAAGTGCACTTTGAGGCCACGTGAAGTGTTGATGGCTCACAGACGGGTCTCCGGCTCAAACCAAGGTGGTGCCATTGGTTGACTGAGACGACTGGCTGATTCACCACCTGTGCTCCCCATTGTGCCAACTTGCTGTGTTTTAGCTGCCCAGCGCTCCGCTCGTTGTTGTGAGCGTCGCTCCTCGGCCCTCCGTTATTGTTGGAGGGCGACTGCCTCCAACCGCCCAGTAGCGTCCTTCACGAGCCTCCTCCACAGAGGCTGATCTTGACACCGCTGGTACTGGTCTTTGGCAAATCCACTCAGCTCCACATCCTCCCATACTGCATCAACTCCATCTCTTCTCCAGCCCATGTCATGCCTGTTTAGCCCCCTCTATGCAGCCAATCAGAAGCTGCTTGGGGCATGCGGTGGCTGGGCATGCGGGCTACACGACTCAGCCAACGCAGCCTTGCCTGCCGGGGCGCTCATCGATGGAGATGTGTCCAGATCTTTCAAGGATTTGTGAGCTCCTCACACAACCCAGCCTGCAGGTTTACACCCAGGATGCACACCCTGAACGCTTCGAACCGGCGCAGATGTTCCAGTCTGGCCACCTTTGTCTCCCCAGTGGCGATGCTTACTGCCACACCAATGCACCAGGCTACTCATTTGAGGCCGAGCCGACGTAGGGGAGGCCCAGGACCAGTTCAGATAATCGCTGTCACTGGTGTTGGTGGCCGTGACAAATACAAAGATCTTCCGTGTAGCCTTAGCAGACTGCGGGAGGCAAGTGCTGTTAGCGAGCAACTATGAAGGCCGGCACTGTGGCACACACAGAGGGGTTGGGTGGCCAGCACCACGCCCGGCCGCCTTTGTCTCCCCAGTGGCGATGTTTACTGCACACAGCTACACCAGGTTACTCATTTGAAGCTGAATCGACCTAAGGGAGGCTCAGATAATCGCTGTCACTGGTGTTGGTGGCCGTGAGCACACACACACACACACACGTACACACACACACGCACACGCGCGCACACACACACATGCACACACACACACGCACACACACGCGCGCGCACACACACACGCACACACACGTGAGCACACACACACACGCGCACGCACACACACACACATGCACGCGCACGCGCACACACCCGCGCACACACAAACACGCACGCACACACACGCACACACACGCACACACACGCACACACACGCGCACACACACACGCACACACACGCACGCCGTGTCATATCACTCGTGTTTATTGAGGTCGCGGTGAGTTGGCGTCACGAGAAGCGGAGTCCACCACCACCACCTCCTCCTCCTGCTCCACCTGCTCCTCGTCATCCCTCCGAGTGGCTCGCCCTCGCGGCCGCTCACCCACACACGGCCTGCCACACAGGGGAGCAGCAGCAGCAACAACAGCAGCAGCAGGAGCCGCCATTTACCACTTGAGTGGAGGCGACATCAGCACGGCGCCTGTGCACTTTCAAGGCCACGTGAAAAGTCGAACGCCCGGCCGGCAGGAGGTCACTGATACAGACCCAGCAGGTGCCATGGGTTGACTGCTGCTGACCCAGGCTAGGTGCAGGATATCACGGGACAGACCCAGCAGGTGCCATTGGCTGACTGCTGCTGTGCCAGGCTAGGTGCATAAGGAGGAGGTCACAGGACAGACCCAGCAGGTGCCATGGGTTGACTGCTGCTGCTGTGCCAGGCTAGGTGCATAAGGAGGAGGTCACGGGACAGACCCAGCAGGTGCCATGGGTTGATTGCTGCTGCTGTGCCAGGCTAGGTGCATAAGGAGGAGGTCACGGGACAGACCCAGCAGGTGCCATGGGTTGACTGCTGCTGCTGTGCCAGGCTAGGTGCATAAGGAGGAGGTCACGGGGACAGACCCGGCAGGTGCCATGGGTTGCCTGAGATGACTGGAAGATGCGCCACCAGCTGTGCCCCCTACAGTGCCAAAATAGGAGAAAGCACCCACCCCACTCGTCCACATGGCATCCTCACCGCCCACGTGCCCCCTCCTCAGCCCCTTACCCACTCCTCCTCACCCACCTCCTCACCCCACCTCCTCACCCCACCTCCTTGCCTCCTCAACCACCACCTCCCCCCATCTCCTCACCCCTCCTGCTCACCTCCTCAGGCGCTGCGCTTGGGGTTGTTCACGGCCACGTAGTGGTACAGAACCACGAGGAGGAAGAGCGACACTCCCAGAACGTTCGCAAAGATCGCGAGCTGTACGTCCGTGATCATCGCCGCAACTGCTGCTGCTGAAGCTGTTGCTGAAGCTGTTGCTGCTGTTGCTGAATAGAGGGAACGACGGGGGGAGAGAGGCAGCGGGAGGGAGCGAGACGCACGCACAATTATCTTCACTCTGTGGCGAGTTCTACGGGTCTGTGTGCGATGAGTCTATTGGTGCCCGTGCCATTTCTGGCAATGAAACAGGAGGTGTTAAGATGTTCCAACACGAAATAGAAACCTTTTGGGTAAAGGGATCATGTCACTGCATTTACAACAGACAGTACTTGTGGTGAACATGCAGACAAAACATGGCTCTCATAATATATGATGCATTATCCTTCTCTGGTCTGACACTGGTAGTGAGACTAGGCCCTGTTTCTGGTGTAGACCAATCCGTTTCCAAGACAATGCCATCAAACATTAACACAGAGCATATTTTATTTGCATGTTCCACCGCAAGTACTGCGTGGGGTTAATGCAGCGACTTGAATCCTTGCAAAAGGTTTCAATTTGGTGTTTGAACATTCTTGAAGACACCTCCTGCTTTTTTGCCAGGAAGGGTAAAACCCACTCTTATTTTTCACACTTTCGGACTGCCCAACACATTCTCCTACGGAGGGAGCTGGTAGGAACGTTGGGTTGCTCGGTCAATGGCCAGTGTTAACGGCGGCACCACGTGGTGTATTCCGGAATTATGCCCGACTGTGAGGGCGGGCACAAGCCGGCGTGAGTAGGTTAAACGTTGAGTTTTATAAGGGCACCACGGGGTGACCAGCCCCACCCCACCCAGCGCCACCACCCCCCAACCAGCCTCTCCCCACCCTCCCCACCCAGCCCCTCCCCACCCAGCCCCTCCCCACCCAGCCCCTCCCCACCCTCCCCACCCAGCCCCTCCCCACCTGATGATGATTGCTTGTGTTGCAATCGAAACGTCGTGAGAATTGTATTGTTTTATATTTTTCTTATTTTATTGTTTCCCTTCTATGCGACTTTACCGAAAGAACCAAGAATATAAGTAGAACGTGTTGTCTATTTATTGAGAGTTGCCCATTTTGATGTGACGTCACATTTCTCAACCCCCCCCCCCCCCCCGATCGTCACAAATGTCATTTATGGACGGCCCCTAATGCAGAAACGTGATTCCTTGCTAAAGCTATCATCTGTCGTGGTGTTTGCGCATCTTAACACGACTCCTGCTGTGTTACTTCCAAGAGCTTTATAGCTCATCGGATTTTCCTTCCAGGACGAATGCAGATTATGAGATTGGAGAACCTGGAGTCACTCGTCAAGAACAGCACCGCCCAGTGTACAACACACTACTTACTGTACACAACATCCACTGCACACTACACCCACTGTACACAACATCCACTGTACACAGCACACTTACTGTACACAACACCCACTGCACACTACACTCACTGTACACATCACACTACTTACTGTACACAACACCCACTGCACACTACACCCACTGTACACTGTACACATCCACTGTACACATCACACTACTTACTGTACACAACATCCACTGCACACTACACCCACTGTACACAACATCCACTGTACACATCACACTACTTACTGTACACAACACCCACTGCACACTACACCCACTGTACACTGTACACAACATCCACTGTACACATCACACTACTTACTGTACAAAACACCCACTTTACACTGTACACAACATCCACTGTACATATCACACTACTTACTGTACACAACACCCACTGCACACTACACCCACTGTACACAACACACTACTTACTGTACACAACATCCACTGCACACTACACCCACTGTACACAACATCTACTGTACACATCACACTGCTTACTGTACACAACACCCACTGCACACTACACCCACTGTACACTGTACACAACATCTACTGTACACATCACACTGCTTACTGTACACAACACCCACTGCACACTACACCCACTGTACACTGTACACAACATCCACTGTACACATCACACTGCTTACTGTACACAACACCCACTGCACACTACACCCACTGTTCACAACGCCCACTGTACACAGCACCCAGTGCTAAACACAGCAATCACTGTACGCAATACAGCACGCACAGTGCCAATGGCACACTTTACATACACAGTACGCACCGCGCACTGTATGCAATGCAGTGCTATTGCACTGTATGCAATGCAGTACAGCACTGTACACAATGGTGCTGTACAGTAAGTCACGCGGTGTTGGACCGGGAGGTGCTCGCCACGTAGTACAGTACGGTACTGTACAGTAGTGTGTTAAAAGGAGTGAAAAAGTGCATTTAGTACAGTACTGTGGTGCTGTAAGGCACAGCGCCGCAGACTATGACGCTGTGTACAGTGTACAGTGTCACACGTGTATACAGAGACACACGTGTGTGTGTACGTACACACACACGTGTGTACACAGTGTCACACGTGTACACAGACACACACGTGTGTGTGTACGTACACACACACACGTGTACACAGTGTCACACGTGTACACAGACACACGTGTACGTACACACACGTGTGACAGTGTACACACACACACGTGTGTACACTGTCACACGTGTACACAGACACACGTGTGACACTGTACACACACACGTGTGTACACAGTGTCACACGTGTACAGTGTCAGACGTGTACACACACACACGTGTACACACACACGTGTGTGTACACGTGTGTGTGTGTGTACGTACACACACACACACGTGTGTGTGTACGTACACAGACACACAACAAAGCTCCCCCGCTCAGCACTCCAAATTAGCAGCCTGTGGGGGGCCAAGTGCTGTTAGCGAGCACCAACGAAGGCCTTCACGGCACACAGCGGGGGTGGAGTGACCACCACCACCGCCGCCACCACGCCCGGCCGCCTTTGTCTCCCCCAGTGGCGATGCTCACTGCTCCCACACATCGCCACTAGGCCGAGTCGGCCTAGGGTAGGAGGAGACGGAGGAGGAGGAGGAGGGGGAGACGACAACCACGACCCAGGAGCTGTTTCAGACAATCGCCACTCCTGGCGGCTTCGTCGGTGGCCGTGAAGCGCAGCGTCGCCGCTCCCCCTCGACGCAAAGCTCCGCCCCGTGTAGCCTCAACAACGAGACTGCGGGGTAGCGGGGCAAGTGCTGTGAGTAGCGAGCAGCAGCAGCAGCAGCAGCCACTCCCCGCACGGCCGCCTTTGTCTCCCCTGCCGCGCCGTGAGGAGGAGGAAGAGGAGGAGGAGGAGGTCGGCTCGCTCACCCGCGGGCCCGGATCGGAGGGGGTCCACGTCGCTCGACCTGGGACGAAGAGGAAGTGAGGTGGCTGCAGGATACGCTCGTGCGTGGTGACGTCACGACGCACGAGCTACCATGCGCCGTGACGTCATCACGCACGAATATCGATGGGGGGTGGGGGGGAGGATGTGACGCAACGACGCAAGGGATTGCGACGTCACGACGCATCGTTACCACGGGGGGGAATGTGACGTCATGACGCCCAAAGCGTCGATCGTGGTGTAGGAGTGACGTCACTACGCACAAGAGACGGGGGGAGGGGTAGAATGTTACGACATGACGCACGGACATTGTGGGATGCGACGTCACGACGGATGGCGAATTGTGACGTCATGACGCCCAAAGTCGAGTGCGTGTTGTGGGGGTGACGTCACTACGCACGGATACCATGGGGGAGAGGATGAATGTGACGCCGTTACGCGCGGACACCGAAGGATGTGACGTCACAACGTCACATCGACTCCCCCAGGTAAGATGGCCGCCTCTGGCACGTGACGACCTGCATCACGTGACCCCCCCCCCCCGAAACTCCCTCCCCCCACTCCGCACACTGCTGACGTGTCACGTGCCGGCGCGGACCGATCCTCCCGCAAATTAATTTGTGCGAATCGCCGAAATCGATCCACTCCGCACCTCGCCCCTACCCGCGATGTTTGCGATCACTCCGCCCATCGGGCGCGCAGATTAGTCCCCCCCTCTCCTGATCTCTATGATTTTTTTCATCAAAGAGATCAGCACTACTTTTTGGGGCCGATTTGGTAAAGAATCGAAAATTTAGACACCGCAGTTTTCGATTAAATTGATCGATTCCTCACAACAAACGGTAAGGGTATGGCTAACGATTCAGCATCGGTGAATCGGTGAATCGTTAGACTTTGCATTTGAATTTACGCGAAAGGTGGGAAAATCGACACCGAGACGATCCGATTTAAACTGCGTTCGACTAACGATATCGATCCGCGTCCATGGAATGTAATAGCAAATTCGGGAATCGACACCCTTCAGCAGGTAACACCGTAATATCGATTAACAGCGCTCAATTTCAATTGGGAATAGATTAATAAGTGTTGTGGATGGAATCGATTCCTCCACGTGTGGCTTGCTCCGCTCCAGCTGCTGGCCCAGGAGCAGAGACAGCAGCACCCTGCAGGTGACACAAAGACAAAAAGATAAAAAGCCCGCACCGTGTAGCTGTTAGCGAGCACCTATGAAGGCCGGAACGGCACACGAGGGGGTGGGTGGCCAGCACCACGCCCGGCCGCCTTTGTCTCCCCAGTGGCGATGTTAACACACCGCTACACCAGGTACTCATTTGAGGCTGAGTCGACCTAGGGGAGGCCCGGGACCGGTTCAGATAATCGTCACTGGTGGTGTTGGCCGTGACGGGGAATCGAACCGGGGTCGCCAGGTTCATAGCGCAGCGTAGCGCTAACAGCTACACTATCACTGTGTGTGTGTCACACTGTGTGTCACTGTGTGTGTGTCACTGTGTGTGTCACACTGTGTGTCACTATGTGTCACTGTGTGTGTGTCACACTGTGTGTCACTGTGTGTGTGTCACTGTGTGTGTCACACTGTGTGTCACACTGTGTGTCACTATGTGTCACTGTGTGTGTGTCACACTGTGTGTCACTGTGTGTGTGTCACACTGTGTGTCACTGTGTGTGTGTCACACTGTGTGTCACTGTGTGTGTGTCACACTGTGTGTCACTGTGTGTGTGTGTCACACTGTGTGTGTGTGTCACTGTGTGTGTCACACTGTGTGTCGCACTGTGTGTGTCACTGTGTGTGCGTCACTGTGTGTGTCACTGTGTATGTGTCACACTGTGTGTCACTGTGTGTCACACTGTGTGTCACTGTGTGTGTCACTGTGTGTCACACTGTGTGTCACTGTGTGTCACTGTGTGTGTTTCACACTGTGTGTCACTGTGTGTGTCACACTGTGTGTGTGTGTGTGTCACACACACACACACACAGTGATAGTGTAGCTGTTAGCGCTACGCTGCGCTATGAACCTGGCGACCCGGCTTCGATTCCCGCTCACGGCCAACACCACCAGTGACGATTATCGGAACCGGTCCCGGGCCTCCCCTAGGTCGACTCAGCCTCAAATGAGTACCTGGTGCGGTGTGTAAACATTGCCACTAGGGAGACAAAGGCGGTCGGGCGTGGTGCTGGCTACCCACCCCCTCGTGTACCGTTACGGCCTTCATAGGTGCTCGCTAACAGCACTTGCCCCTACAGTCTGTTAAGGCTATACGGGGGATCTTTGTCTTTGTCACACTGTGTGTGTGTGTCACACACTGTGTGTGTGTGTCACACACACTGTGTGTGTGTGACACACACACTGTGTGTGTGACACACACTGTGTGTGTGCTGTGCCCACCATCATGAATGTACTTAATGATTGGACTCCAAAAGCATGAAAATCAACCCAGAGCCCAGGGCTATTGATGGTATCGTAGGACCTTGACCAGGTCAATAAAGCAGAGATATAGGTCCTGTTGGATTCCCTATGCCTCTGCTGTAGCTTAGTTTGATGTCTTTCACGTGGTCTTGTGGTAATTAAATTGAAGATAGAGAGGTTGCGCTGAGAGATTGAACTGCGGTATTGTGACGTGGGAGGGCGATGTGTTTCTGGTCGCTATTGCAGACACGCCACTTGCCCTTCAGAGGAACACTTTTCAATAAAAAAAAATTTCCGTTTCACAAACCCCTCCACCCCCCTGGTGCGCTCAGCTATTGTGCAGTCACCCCAACTTCTCCGGAGGACGGAACACAACGTGGAGTAAATCTACTCATCATCGACTCCGAACTTTTATTATTCTTGTTGTCTCTTTAGCTGGACCTGTCTATCCCCCCTCACAAGGATTCATGACTGAGTGAGGAGAGGGGACTGGGCGGACCGGCTACAATAAGCGGCTGTTATCATAATTGTGATTTGGGCGGACTCTGTATTAAGGAATTCAGCTGCTGTGTTGTAGACGTGGGAGGGCGACGTGCTTCTGGTCGCTATTGCAGATTCGCCGCTGCCCTTCCGAGGAATGCTTTACAGTCAAGCTTTTTCCATTTCACACACTGCCCCTCTGGAGCTCAGCTGTTGTGGAGTCACCCCAACTTCTCCGGAGGACAGAACACGACGTGGAGTAAATCTACTGATCGTCGGCTCCGAATTGTTGTTGTCTACCTAGCCGATCTGTCCCCCCTCGTGAGTGTTCATGACCGCGGGATGAGAGGGGACGGAGCTAAACCGGCTACACTCACACGGTAACCCCCCTCTCCCACCTACCCCTAGGCCCCGATGGCCCAGACGGCCCGGCTCTTCGTGGCCGAGGAGGCGGCCGAGCGAGCTCTGAGCTCGGCCGCCGCCACGGCCCCGGCCGAGGGCCGCACCGGCCTCCTGCTGGGCCTGGCCGGCAACTCGTCCGCCTCCTCCGCCTCGTCGCTGTCAAACCGCGACGTGGTGCTGCTGGCCGTGCCCACCCCGGCCCGCGATGACGACGAAGAGGAGGAGGAGGAGGAGGAGGAGGACGGGGAGCGTGCGGGCGAGGCGTGGGCGGCGGAGCACGCCCGCCTCGTCCGCCGAATGCTCCCGGGGGGCATCGCCATCCTCGGCGTTTTCCTCGCCTTCCCCAGCGGCGGCGGCGGCGGCGACGGCGACGGCGGCGACACCGAGAAGCGGCAGGCCAAGCTGCGGCGGCTCCTGTTCGGGATGGAGCGTGCCCTGGCCCGGGGGCGGCCTCCACAGGGAAGAGGAGGAGACGACGACGATGACGACGACGATGACGATGACGGCGAGGCGGACGGGAAGCACCGAGCTGCGCTGCTCGCCGTTGGCCCCAGCGGCCGCCGCTGGTGCAGCTCCTACGACGTCCGCGACGCCCAGGCGCCAGCGTCGCGCGCCGAGTGGAGGCTCCGGCCGAAGCCGCCGCCGCACCAGCAGCAGCAGGGCGCGACGCCGCTCCTCGTCGAGCTGCGCTGCACCCTGCACCTCGAACTGCGCGCGCCGCTCTCCCCGCCCGGCGGTCGCGGTGGCGGAGCGTCGGCCGCCGGGGCCCTGCGCGCCGCGACGCGCCAGCTGGCGGGGCAGCTGCGGCGCGCCGTGTGCCTCGTGGACGGGAGGTTCCTGCGCGACGATGAGGCCATCGGCCCTGCGGACGGCGGCGGCGGCGGCGGCGGTGGCCGGCGGCGTCTAAAGCAACAGCAGCAGCGCCCGTGCCCGCCCATCGCCGTGCGGATCCTGCTACCGCCCCCCGGGGCCGCCGCCGGGGCCGCCGCCCCCGGTGCGGGGGGGCCGTGCCCCCACGGCCTGCTGCAGATCGTCGGCTCGGCAAGCTGCCGGGCGCTCGTCAACCCCCAGCGGAGGCCGCTGCTGGCGGGGCCGGCGCTGAGGGCGCTGAAGGCAGACGCCGTGGCCTCGCTGTGGACGCGCTTCGAGCTGCTGCTGGAAGAGGAGGAGCTCGTGGGGGCGGGGCGCGAAGCCGCGGCTGTGGCCACGGCCCTGCCCCGCCGAGTCTTCGTCCCCGTGCCGGGCCTATGGGGTGCCCGCCTCTGCCACTTTGCCTTCCCCGACGAGACGGCGGCCGACTGCGCCGCAAGGGTCGGCGAGGTCCTGGGCATGGACCTGGGACTCGCCGGGGCGGAGGAGGTGGAGGAGGCCGAGGAGGTGTGGGGACTGTTGTTGTTGTGTTTTCTGCCACTATGAATGTCCACGCGATGATGATGATGATGATGCTGCTATTAGCCACTTGGTTGAGCTGCTACCATTTGTGATGGCCGGGACGCTTCTGAAAAAGAGCTACGAAGCAACTCAGTAGTGGGGCCTCACACCTGGTAACATAAAAATAGTTTTAGTATGGGTCTCGATGAGTATGAGTCTCTGTGGGTCTCTACCAGTATGGTTCTCTGTGGGTTAGTGTGGGTCTGTATGGGTCTCTGTGGTTGTGTATTTGTCTCTGGGGGCTCTGTGGGTCTGTATGGGTCTTTGTGGGTCTGTATGGGTCTCTGTGGGTCTGTACGGGTTTCTGTGGGTCTGTATGGGTCTCTGTGGGTCTGTATGGGTCTCTGTAGGTCTCTATGATTATTGGTCTCTGTGGGTCTGAATGGGTCTCTATGAGTATGGGTTTCTGAATATGGATTTCTATGGGGCTGTGTGGATTTGTATGGGTCGCTGAGTCTACATAAACATGCATTTAGAGCAGGGGTAGGGAATGTCCGGCCCGCGGGCTATATAAGGCCCGCGAAATCATGTGGCAGTTCCATCCATCACATTAGGGGTGAGTTAATTAAATGTTTGACCAAATATAACAGGCTAATCTTTAAGTTGATAATTTTGTATGGCCCGCGAATGATGTTATAAATGTCCAAATGGCCCTTTGCAGAAAAAAGGTTCCCCACCCCTGGACTTCAGAGTATGTGGCTGCTCCTATAAATATCCACATGATGATGGTATTAGTCACTTGGTTGAGCCGCTATTATTTGTGATGGCCAGGTCGCTTTTGAAAATGAGCTACATAGCTCAATGGGGCCTTAACCTGGTAAAATAAAAAAACAAATTATAATTGTGAATGTCGCAACTAGTTTAGACTATTCGGCTGCTGTAAATCTCCACACGATAAGCCACTTCGTTGAGTTATCATTTGCAATAGCCAGGTCACTCCTGTACGTACGTATGCATGCGCGTTGAACTTCTCTTGCACCGTACGTAGCCAACTGTGCCAATCGGAGAGATGTGGTCGGGGAGCGAGTGGGTGGGTGAGTGGCTCGGTGGGCCTTCTTACCTGGTGAAAGAAAAGAAATTAAAAATAAATAATTTAATTACATCATGTTGGATAGAGACGCCACAGAGTTATTCCGGAACGTGTTGAGCGAGTGCTGGACGCAGCCACCCATTTCAAAATGTGATTTGTGACTTTGATCCTAGGCCCCGTGTCGTATCGATCTTTCAACACACTGCAATTAACCTATGACGATTCAGAAAAGTTGCTAACCACCCCACAGTTACTTGCAGGAACTAATTACATTTACATATTCCCTCAAGATCCTTTAGATCTTCCAATCTCCCAACTGCTCAGCATTCTTAAGGGTCTCTAGGGCTGCACTCTATGGGCGATCGGTGCTTTTGCTAGTGTGGCACCCACATGGTATGGAATGCCCTTTTCCACTTTAAATCAGGGCAATCGGAGTCGGTGAGTATATTTAAGTCTTTGCTTTGAAACCCCATCTCTTTTTAAAGTGGCCTTCCCTCTCTAGTTTGGTCAGTTGCCCCCTGGTTCTATTTTTGTTTCCTGCTTTTCATGCATTGGTGCAGGGGTCGGGAACCTTTTTGACTAAGAGAGCCATGAAAGCAAAAAATTTGGAAATTTATTTCAGTGAGAGCCATATAATATATTTTAAAAGTGAATTCAACTAAATGTCAGTATAATAAGCCTCTGAATTTATTCTTTTAAATAATGTTGTTATAACACTCACCATTAATGCGACTTCTGGTGCTGCATGGATTTGCTGATGTCTTTGTAGTCGGGTTGGTACTTTGTAGTCGGGTTGGTACTTGGTGAGGTTAAGCTTCATGCAAGCGTTGAGGCTTTCATCCGTTAAACGTGATCGTAGGTTGGACTTGATGTTTTTAAGATGTGAGAATGACTGCTCACATGCATACGTAGATCCAAACATGGTCAATACAGCAATACTCACACGCTGCAGTGTGTGGTATGTGACAGGAAGCGCGTTCCAAGTTTTGAGAATCAGCTGGTCTTCGGGTTGGAGTTTTTTCATTTCTGTCCACATGTGCTTGCTCGCCAACTCCGCTTTCTGTCGTGTGATTCTTTCCAAATCTTCATTCAGTGACTTGAACTTATTCACCCACATGTCTGAGGCCTTCAGGTCAGCCACTTCTGCTTCAAAATCTCTGACAGAGACACCAGGGATGTAATTCAGGTCGGCTGTGTTCAGTGAACACTCGTTTGGATGGGTGATGAACTTAAAAAGACGAGTGTGCTCACGAAATTCTCCAAAGCGTGCTTTGAAGGACTGTAGGAGACTGGATGTGCAGCCAGCTAGCTGGTGGAGATCAAGGTTTTGAATGGGCTCACTTGCTGTGCATGCATCTTTAAATTGGCTCAGTTGTTCAAAATGTAGTAAACGACCTGTTTCAAGATCCGTGATGAAAAGCTCCAGCTTGTTTTCAAAAGCAAATACAGCTTGTTGAAGGGATAACACTGTATTTCCAATGCCTTGCATTTTCACGTTGAGCTGGTTCAGATGTTCAGTCAGATCTACGAGATAGTAAAACTTGAGGAGCCACTCGGTGTCGGCTAGCTCAGGATGCCCGACGCCTTTCATTTCAAGGAAAGTCCGGATTTCGTTCAGGCAAGCCGCAAAACGGCTAAGCACCTTCCCTCTTGACAACCAACGCACATTGCTGTGCAAAAGCAGACCAGGATAGTTATTTACAACTTCATCCAGCAGTGTTTTAAACTGGCGATCATTTAAGGCTCGGGCAACAATAAAGTTGATCACACGAATGACCAGCGACATCACTTCGCCAAACTGCCTGTCACACATCTGAGCACAAAGTGCCTCCTGGTGTATAATGCAATGGAAACTTAGGATGGGTCTATTTTCATGTTCACGGAGAAGCGCCACAAATCCTTTGTTTTTCCCCACCATACACGGAGCACCATCAGTACACACTGAGAGAAGTTTATCCATAGGTAGACTTTTTTCTTGAGCAAACTCCATGAAAGACTTGAATAAATCCTCACCTCTTGTGGACCCTTTTAATGGCAGAACAGCAAGACTTTCTTCGCGCAGTGTGTCACCAACAGCATATCTTGCAATCACGCTGAACTGCGATAAATGGCTCACGTCTGTTGACTCATCCAAAGCCAGAGAAAAGAACGGCGCTGCATTTATGTCCTTCACTTGCGTTTCCTCCACTTTGTTTGCCATCACGATGGTACGATCATGAACAGTTCTTGCCAACAGAGGCATGTCTTGTATCCGTTTGATTATCTTGTCTTTGTTCGGAAGATCATCAAAAAGTTCATTGGCTACATCCAGCATGAACGTTTTAGCATACTCGCCATCTGTGAATGGTTTTCCGTTCCTCACTATTGCTAAAGAACCAGCAAAGCTAGCCGAATTATAGTCACCTTGCCGGGTCCATACGCGGAGTTGCTGCTGGCTAGCTTGCACCCTGCTCAGAAGCTCTTGGCACGCTTTCTTTCTGCTGTCTCCCGCAGGGTATTTTGATGCAAAGGTAGCGTGGCGCGTGTCGAAGTGCCGCTTTACATTCGACCGTTTCAACGATGTAATTTTGTCATTGCAAATTAGACACACCGCAGAACCCGCTCTCTCCACAAAGGCGAATTCTTCGGTCCATTCGTCCTGAAATGTACGATACTCGTCGTCTTTTTTTCTTTTCGCCATCTTCTTCGTCGAAGGGTTAGCTTTGAGCTAATGACCGAGCAGACGCAGTCTCAGACTGATTCAAAAGGGGGCGTTTACCTGTTTTACCCAGCAACGGCAAACGTAGGCCAGTATCATCCAATTAAAATAGTGGACAATTGCTCCTGCAGCCCTGAACAGGACATGCGCAGTGAAAAATCGATGGATGGATTAAAACAAGTGAGAATATTTTGTTTTATCTGCGAGCCATATGCAATCATCAAAAGAGCCACATCTGGCTCGCGAGCCATAGGTTCCCGACCCCTGCATTGGTGCATTGAGATCATAGGATGGAATGCCGCAGTGTGCATTTTATTTTATTATTAATGTTATTGTGCAATTTTATTGAGGGTCTGGGACTGTAGCCTTTGCTGCCTTGCCCAAGCTTGGGAATTGGTGCACGAATGCAATTTGAAATTGAATGCGGGGACTCCTCTACTTACGAACATTCGACTTATGAACTTTCAGAGATACGATCACACCCGGTCCCGTGTGGTCAATTTGCCTGTTCGGACCGAGAGTCTTAAGTTCAACCGCCCTGTGCAATAGACGGCAGTGGTGGCATTTAAATCTGCAGAACGTGAAGAACCAGTGGCATCTAAATTGGAGAATGTGACGAATCGATGGCATCTACATCTGCAGAACATGAAGAACCAGTGGCATCTACATCTGCAGAACGTGAAGAACCAGTGGCATCTACATCTGCAGAACGTGAAGAACCAGTGGCATCTACATCTGCAGAATGTGAAGAACCAGTAGCATCTACATCTGCAGGACATGAACCAGTGGCATCTACATCTGCAGGACATGAACCAGTGGCATCTACATCTGCAGAACATGAAGAACCAGTGGCAACAACATCTGCAGAACGTGAAGAACCAGTGGCTTCTACATCTACAGAACATGAAGAACCAGTGGCATCTACAGAACGCGAAGAACCAGTGGCATCTATATCTACAGAATGTAAAGAACCAGTGGCATCGATATCTACAGAATATAAAGAACCAGTGGCATCTACATCCACATAACATGAAGAACCAGTGGCATCTACATCTACAGCAGGTTATACAACTTTTAAAGCCATTCCCCGTGTTTAGTCTACATGCCGTAACAACACATTTATATTTTGATTTAAAGCTTTCGTGACTGCAGTAATTCATATTCTTAGTTTTTTCGGTAAAGTCATGTTGAAGGGACATTTATAGTCGGCAGAAGTAAAGTTGGGACTTGCGAACAAGTCGACTTACCAACACAGACCTCTGGAACCCCACTCGTCCATAAGTAGAGGCGTCCCTGTACTGTATATACTTTATCTATTTTTAAGTATTTATTTCGCATTGAGCTGCTTACCTTCCCCACGCTTTGGCACTCCTATCGTTGTTTGGGCTGTGTCGTGTGTTGTGTATTATCTGTGTGTGTTGTTCTCGTAACTTTCTTTGACATCTGCGAGAACAAAAGAGCTTTCTTGCTTATCGGATTGCTCCTCCGCGGGATTAATGAACATTCCGATTCTCATTCCGAGGTGGTGGCCATGGTGGTGGAGGAGGAGGAGAAGGCCCCGGGACCCATTGTCACCGCCGATGGCGCTGATGGTGATGGGAGTGGAGGAGCGTGTGGACCGGAGGCGATGAGGAGGAGAAGGAGGAAGGAGGAGGAGGAGGATGGGAGGGGTGGTGTGCGAGGTTTGTGATGTGTGCATATGTGTGTAAGTTGAACTTTAGTATAGTGCTGTAGTGTATAGTGTTGTGTGTGTAGTGTAGTGTATAATGTAGTGTGTGTGTGTAGTGATTAGTGTAGTGTATAATGTCGTGTGAAGTGCAGTGTATAGTAGTGTATAGTGTAGTCTTTATTCCATGGCTAAGCCAAATCTGCTGTTGCGAGGATGATGAGCGGAGTTGACGTGATGATGGTTTACCCTCCTTGATGGGATCAGCAGTGAGGTAACCGTGCTTCATTTGATGTGACGAGCACTTTGTGCGTGTAAATGAGTGCGAGGAGTGGGGATTATTGGTGTAATGCACACGACCATTAGACTACAGGGCCAGCCTAACCAAGGTAATAACAAAATGTAAGTTATTTTTATTTGACCAGGTGTAAGGCCCACTGGAAAACCAACTCCGTAGATCGTTTTCAGAAGCGACCTGGCCATCACAAATGATAGCAGCTCAAACAAGTGTCTGATATCATCGTCGGAGAAAAATCCACGCGACCACGGGGAGAGAGCTAAACGCCAACTCCAAATATACAGAAGGTATAGTCAGGGTCAGGATCGAACCCACGACCTCCTTTATGCCAGGCGAAGTAGTTAACATCTCCTAGCCACCGTGACGCTCTGAGTGAAGTACTGTGGGGACCGCTCATTCCAGGTGAAGTCGGCATTGCCGGGAGGCTGTGCCGCTCACCGCCCTGGCTGGTGGTGGGCGCCGGAGTGGCCGTGGTGGCCGTGGTGGTGCTGCTGCTGCTCTACGCAGCGGTGGCCGACTGAGTGACGAGGAGGAAGAATGAATACACGGCAGCGGCGGCGGCGGTGGTGGTGGCGGTAATTTGCGCGAAATAATGAAGGGGCCGATGATGATGAATAAATAAATAATAATGCTGAAGCGAGAGAGAGGCAGAGTGGGCTGAGTGGCGCGAGCGTGGGTGAGCGATGAGATCGGCAGAGCGCGGATATCAACTTTTTATTTTGTTATCAGGTGTAAGGCCCCGCTGAGCTGCTTTGTAGCTATGCTCCTTGGTTCTTTCGGTAAAGTCACGTAGCTGAAAAATAAAAATAAAAAATCACGACGTTTCGGGCGCAACACAAGGGCCCGTCATGAGGTGGGACCACCACAGCTAGAAACAAAATGCTGGAATGGGCAAGAGGGCTGCAGTTAAACAAGACGCTAAATAAATAACTGCAGCCCTCTTGCCCATTCCAGCAGTTGTTTCTAGCTGTGGTGGTCCCACCCGATGATGGGCACTTGTGGTGCACCCGAAACGTCGTGATTACATTTTTACTTATTTATTTTTATGTTTCACCTACGTGACTTTACCGAAAGAACCTAAGAGTATGGATCCTTGCAGTCACGAAAACCTCAAATATAGATTGCTTTGTAGCTCTTTGTCAGCAGCGACCTGGGCCATCACGAATGATAGCAGCAGCTCAACCAAGTGGCTGATAGCATCGTCATCATCATCATCACGTGGACCCTCATAGCAGCAGCCAAATACAGTGGTACCTCGGTATACATCGTTAATTCGTTCCAGAAGGTAGGAGGACTTATACCGAAAATGACGTCTACCAAATGAATTTTTCTCATAAGAAATACAGGGAAAGGAAATAATCCGTTCCAGAGTGTAAGAAATTATATTTTATATGGCATATTATACATTAATGGGGTTGTATTAAATAATTTAGACACTACTTATTGCTCAAATGCATACATAAATTAAAATAAATGCATAAATAAATTAAAATAAACTGAAATAAAAATAAAATTTTACGTCACGTTACCTTGCTGAGAGGAGTTAAAATGACAAAAAACACGTGAACATTCACAGAGAGTTATAGCAAGGGGGTTGTGCACTGAACGAGATCTACAGGCAGACTGAGGAGCGGCGCTTTGTTTCAGTCGTGAACGGGGTCTACGCGGGGACGCGGTGACTCATCCCGACCCATACAAGTTCTAGCAAGCGCGTCGTATCCCAAGCAAGGCGTCGTATTCCAAGACATTTTTTTTCTCGTCAAAACACGACGTGTACCAAATTCGACGTATTCCAAAGCGGTCGTACACCGAGGTATGACTGTACTCTAAAACGCATGACGTCGATTCTCCTCCTCCTGATGCCGAGGGTAAATGGGCGAGGTTCAGGATTGTGGCTCATGCAGCTTCAATGGCTGCTTTGGGTACACGGTCCAAACATCCCCAGAGAGCCTGGCTGATGGAGGAGGTGTTCCAGTGACAAGCCCACGCCCACCGTCTGCAGCATCCCACGTCGGTGTTGTATATACCAGTGTTTAAAATAATGATAAAATAATGGATTAATGTAATGATTAAAAGTGTAATCTTAATAGCAGCATTATTTATTTAATTATATGCAATTACAGTACAACCCCTCTTAATAACCACCCCTGTTATCGTTTAATCGCTTAACGATGGACTTTCATAGAGCTATAGGAGTGTAGTGTGTAGAAGTGCAGTGTATAGTAGTATAGTCAATAGGCCTGTGTGTCTCGAGAGACAATTCTTTTGCACCTTAGGGGGTCAGCTGTAGGTTTTTGCAGTGCCTACAATAACTTAGTAGGCCAATCCTCGAGTGACGATTCTTGCCACAGCAATTGCAAGTGAATGCGGGTGGCAGCTCCAGAGGTGTTTGTTGCTTTTTCTTTACGTCGCTCCCTCTTGGTCTGCTAAGCAGTGCGGCTTTTCTCCTCGCCTCTCCTGAGGCTTGTTTTCATAGCCTGCTGCCATCTGAGTCGGTCACCGGCAGTTTGCTCCCAGTCCCCCTGGGTTGATGTCGCAGCTCTTCATGTCCTGTTTGCAGACATCTTTGAAGCGCAGGACTGGGCGACCAGTGGCCCGTGTGCCTGATGCCAGCTCGCGTACAAGACATCCTTGGGTATTCTGCCATCCTGCATGCGGCGCACGTATCAAAGCCATCTTAGGCGCCTATGACTGAGTAGAGAGTACATGCTGGGAATGTTGGCCATGTTGAGGACTGAGGTGTTGGGAATGCGATCTTGACCATCTGATACCGAGGATGCGCCTGAGACAGCGGAGGTGAAATGTGTTTAGTCGATGTTCTTGATGGGCGTATGTTGCCTAGGACTCTGACCCATATAGGAGGGTGCTAATGACACAGGCCCCGGTACACCTGTAGTTTGGTGTTGAGCGTTAGGGATTTGTTCTCCCACACTCTTTTGGTCAACCTGAACATAGCTGTAGACGCCTTCCCAATGCGCTTGTCAATCTCTGTAACAAGGAACAGGTTGCAGGTGATGGTGGAACCCAAGTAGGTGAAGTCATGAACGGCTTCCAGGGTGTAGCTGCCAATGTTTATGGAAGGGGTGTCTCTGACATCCTGGCCCATGGTCTTTTGTCTTTTTCAGACTGATTGTCAGGCCAAAGTTGTTGCAGGCGTTGGCAAGCTGGTCGATGAGTGTCTGCAGACCTTGTTCTGTGCGAGTTGTCAGCGCGGCATCGTTAGCGAAATAGGAGTTCTCCGATGAGGACTTTGCAGACTTTGGTTTTGGATCCGAGATGGCCAAGGTTGAAGAGTTTGCCATCAGATCTTGTATGGAGAAAGACTCCCTCTTCTGCTTTCCCAAAGCAGAAGAGGGAGTGAGAAAAAGATGCCAAACAGTGTTGGGGCAAGCACGCACCCCGCCTGCTTTACACCGCTGAGTATAGGAAATGTCTCTGAGGTGGTGTCGCTGTGCTGTGTTGTTCCTTTCGTGTTGTCATGGAAAGAGGAGATGACTGCCAGCAGCTTCGGTGGGCAACCGATCACTTTGAGGAGTTTGAAGAGGCCTCCCCTACTGATGAGGTCGAAGGCTTTTGTAAGATCAATGAATGCCAAGTGCAGGGGCATTCTCTGTTCTCGACATTTCTCCTGTAGCTGACGCAAGGAGAAGAGCATGTCGATCGTGGACCTTCATGCTCTGAAGCCACACTGAGTTTCAGGATACGTCCTCTCAGCTAGTATCTGTAACCTGCTAAGGACCACACGGGCAAAGGTTTTCCCCACGATGCTCAGCAGGGAGATGCCGCGGTAGTTATTGCAGTCCCCGCGGTCACCCTTGTTTTTATATAGGGTGATGATGTTGGAGTCTCTCATGTCTTGAGACAATACTCCTTCCCAGCACTGGCAGAGAAGTTTATGGAGTTTTGTGAGGATGGCGAGTTTCGCACATTTCAGTACCTCAGGTGTGATGCCGTCCTGTCCCGGTGACTTGCCGCTGACGAGTGAGTTGATGTCGTTGTCAAGTTCCTTCAAGGTTGGAACATTGTCCAGTTCGTGTATCGTTGGTAGGGGCTTTACAGCAGCAAGGGCAGCTTCTGACACACCGTTGTCTCGTGAGTAGAGCTCTGAGTAGTGTTCTACCCACCTGGCCATTTGCTCTTGTTTATCAGTGATGATGGCCCGTGCTGGATTTCAGGGGGGGCAGTCCTCCTGATGTTTGGACCAAAGGCTGTCTTGATGCCTTCATACATGGCACGGATATTGCCAGAGTCAGAGGCGAGTTGGATCCTACTGCTGAGGTTCAGCCAGTAGTTGTTGGCACAGCATCTGGCGGCCGTTTGAGCTGCACTGCGGGCAGCTTTCAGAGCCCTTAATGATCCTGTACTTGGGACTTGCTTGTATTTCAGGAATGCCATGTGCTTGGCTTGGAGGATGGGTTGCAATATAGCCAGGTGTTCCTCAAACCAGTCTGTGTTTTGCCTTGTCTGCTTGCCAAAAGTATTGATGGCTGCATTGAAGATGGCGTCTCTGATGTATGCCCACTTTGTCTCCACGCTTCCATCTGGTGTGTCGTGTAGAAGCTGCTCAAGGCTGTGTTAGAATGATTGAGTGAGCTCTGGGAGGGAGATCTTGGCAGAGTTGATGCATAGGTAGCGCTTTTGTTCGAGGTAGTGGCATCTACATTTGCAGAACGTGAAGAACCAGTGGCATCTACATCTGTAGAACGTGAAGAACCAGTGGCATCTACATCTGTAGAACGTGAAGAACCAGTGGCATCTACATCTGCAGAACGTGAAGAACCAGTGGCATCTACATCTGCAGAACGTGAAGAACCAGTGGCATCTACATCTGTAGAACGTGAAGAACCATTAGACAACTTTTAAAGCCATTCCCCATGTTTAGTGTGCACGGCGTACAACACGTTTGGAATCAACAGGAGTAAACTTTGGACTTATGAACAAATTGACTTAGGAACAGACCTCTCGGAACCCAAGTCGTTTGTAAGTAGAGGAACCCTATATAGGCGACTATGTCAGATCTCCGAATATGGATCTCACCGCAGGATACAGTTGACGAAAATTGGGACGTACAATACGCCAGTTCAGAAGGAAGAACTCAAGGACCCCCTTCGTGATTGTAGCAACTTTAATATCAACTTCCACTGACATTCAAAAATACTTAACAGAGTGGAACTACAGTGCACGCACAAATGTGCCTACTCTTCACTTTTACTGAACGGGTTAGGAAAGCGTCGAAGATTTATTAAATGCCACACAGCAACAGGGCTAACATCTTGGTGTAAGCGTGACGATATCCAATTCTGAAAAAATAAGAATAGTAATAGTTTTTTTCCCCTTTTTTCTGGCAACAAAACTGAAACCTTTTTACAAGGAATCATGTTTACATTAACCACAATACCTGCGGTCAGAATGCAAACTAAAAACACACTGATAATGTATGTATTGTCCTTGAAATTGATTGGTCCACACCAGAGACAGCTTTCCTTAGAGCCTAGTCTAAAGGGGAAAAAAACATTATATTTTGGTACTGGCAAAGGAGGCCTTATGATGAATAAGAATAGGTTTTACCTTTCTGGCAGTAAAACAGAAGGTGTTATGGCGTTCAACCACCAAATAGAAACACATTGCAAGGAATGAAGTACTTCATTAACCACACACAGTACTTGTGGTGAACATGCAAACAAATATTCTCTGATAATCTATGATGCATTGTCTTGAAACTGATTGGCCTTCACCAGAGACAGCCCTCTTTTGAGCCTAGTCTCACCAGTATCAGACCAGAGAACGCCAAAAGGCGAACAGGCCCCGTGTTGATACCCAATTCGTTCGCGATGATGTTGTGATATTAATAAGCTTAGACGTTTTAAATTATCCTGTACCAAACTCGGCCTACAAACCTGTACCATGGTACAGTTGAACATGGTGAGTGGTAAAGTTTAAAGTGTGTCCCATCTTCTGCCTTCTCTCTGACACGAAACAGACCTCCCAGTCCCCCACAAGGGAGTGTTGAATGCCAGGCTCGATCCACAGCTGGAGCACGCTGCGGCCCTCAAACCGACAAGCTGCGCCAGTTATTTGTCAGTCATCAGCTCTGCCACTCGCTCCCAGGGTTGTCTGCTTGCCAGGCTCGATCTGCAGCTGGAAAACGCTGTGGCCACGCTCGCCTGGTGCTCGTTGCTCGTCGGGAGCTCAGGAGTGGCCTGGTTTGCGAGCCCCTGTTGTCAGTTCATTTTCATTTATATAGTATAGCTCTGTGAGCCATTCGGCTCTTGAATCGGGTGAAACCGCAAAAAACAAAAACATGAACAGGAAACATCTTAAAGTGACTACACACAACATAAAAATCCAGGAAAAAAACAGTAAAGTCTTCCAAAAAAAAGCACCGTATATCAACACTGTGTGCAAAAATCTCGGTGGGATGAAAGTTAAACAATAACCATAAGACAATTTAGATTAAAGTTATCAGGCTAACTTTGTACTCCAACAAACAAACATGGCTAAACCAAAACGTTTTCAAAATCACCAAAATAAAGCTATAAAAGCAATGTAACAGTGATCATAGGAACTGTCATTGAAATTTAGCAATAAACGATACACATAACATGTACGACCAAACTTTGCAGCCATGGCTGGCTGCATGAGTCACTCCATAACAGCAGGAGTATCAGTAGGAGTATCAAAAAATTTCAATGCACCTTTGAAGATCAGCACACTATAATCAAAACACAAGATCATACTTTGCAGTGGTCATCCGGAGCGAAACATTTGATTTCAGGCCACTGAATAGCAGTGGTAGCTAGGGGTGTACAACTCCTCTAGAGCAGTTTTGAGTGAAGATCTCACAGGCATGTCAGCGGCGTGCTGGTAGCCTGAATGTCACAATTCTGACCACGCTCCCGGCCTCTTCGCACCTCATGTACAATGTCTGGTTGACTTGCTGACAAACAGAACTCTTCCAAGTCTATAGCTTGGACAATATTTACGTGCACACTCGATATTGGTCTAGAACTCGAATCTCCACTTCGGCAAGTTGCTTTATGCCAAAACGGACGTTTTGCCAACAAATTCAACCGACTCACTCACCACCACCACTCGATCCCCTCCCGCACCTCCGTATAGCCCGGCTGGCTACGTAGGGTGCAAAGGTAGTTCAACATACATACCCATACTGCACCCACCACTCACCCATACACCCACCCACTCACCCACCCACTCACCACTCCCTCCCCCGCCCGCACCTCCGATTAGCCCAGGTGGCTACTTAGAGTGTGAGAGAAGTTCAACATACATACCCTTACACACTCACTAACTCACCCACCCACCTTCTCGCCTACCCACTCCACTCCCTTCCTGCACCTTCGATTAGCCCGGTTGGTTGCGTATTGTGCGAAAGAAGTGCAACATGCCATACCCCCCCACCCACCAACTCGCTCACCAAACTCACTCACCAACCCACGAACTCACCCATCCACTCACTCTCCTCCTGCACCTCTGATTAACCCGGTTGGCTACTTTGGGTGCGAAAGGAGTTCAACATACATACCCACCCACTGACTCACCCACCCACTGACTCACCCACCTACTCACGAACTAACTCACTCCCCTCCCGCACATCCGATTAGCCCGGTTGGCGACGTGCGGTGTGAAAGAAGTTCCACGTACAGCAGTAGAAGCAGCAGCGAAATGGAGGTGGATGTGGAGTGCCCTGCTGCTACTGCTGCTGCCACAACGGGAGGCAGTTGGTGGAGCTCTGCCGCTCTTCTTCCCCTATCGAAGAAATGCAGACTACAGGGGTTTTTACGAGCCAGTCTCTATTAATATAAACGCCCAACTTTATCTGTGATGAATATGATGAACACTGCATTTCCCGTCGTTTTCATGCAGGGGGCGCTGCAAATTTCCGCGCCCCGTGCATGAACGACGGAGGCGCAGGGACAGACGTTCGATCACGTTGGCATCGATCTGCAGACGGCGGTCTTCTCGCACGGCCAGCAGCTCTACGTTGCCTTATCCCGAGCCCGCAATCCCAAACAGGTGAAAGTCCGCATCGAACCGAACCCCCAGCAAGGACATCTACTTGACGATGAGAGAAAATTCACGCGAAATGTCGTTTTCAATTAAGTCTTCCAGATGTAAAATGATATTTATGTATAAACAACTTTATCTGTCTATGATGAATATGATGAACGCTTGAGAGAGAGTGAGAGAACGAGGCGATTCGGTGTTGATTCCCAGAATCGACTTGGCCCCCACCGACACGACTTTGCCATTTGTTTTGCGACAACGAAAATTTCCCATTATCCCCGCATACGCTATCACAATCAACAGGTCGCAGGGACAGATGGTCCATTACGTTGGTAAGCACACAACTTTATCTATCCATGATGAATACTCGGCACCTGCGTCACCCCCAACAACCTAATGTATCTATATGAGTCTCTGTATCTATGGGTCTCTATTTACATGAGAATCTCTGGGTCTCTGTTTCTGGGTGTGTCTTTGGGTCTATATGAGTCTCTGGGTATCTATAGGTCTATGTTTCCGAGTCTGTATCTATATGAGTATATGGGTATCTATGTATATGAGTCTGTATATGAGTCTCTATGGGTTTCTATGATTCTCTTCATCTATAGGAGTCTATATGAGTCTACGGGAAATCTATGGGCTTTATCTAAATGAGTCTTTGAATCTCTATGGGTCTGTATCTGTATGAGTCTCTGTATCTATATGAGTGTGGACATATATATGGGCCTCTGTATCTCTATGTGTCTCTGGGTCTATATGAGTATGGATATTTATGGGTTTCTGTATCGATATAAGTCTCTATAATGTATATGGACCTCTATCTCTATGCGTCTCTGGGTCTATATGATTCTCTATAGGTATCTATTGGTTCTTTGTATCTATATGAGTCTGTCTCTATAGGAGTCTCTGTCTCTATATGAGTCTTTGAGTGTATATTGGTATCTATATCTCTGGGTATATTTGAGTCTATATGGGTATCTATGGTTTGTATCTCTGTGTGTCTCTAGGTCTATATGATTCCCTGAGTTAGTGATGGGTATCTATGGGTCTATCTATATGAGTTTATGTAGCTATATTGGTCTCTGTGGGTATCTATGGATCTCTATCTCCGTGTGTCTGTGGTCTATATGAAAATCTATCGCTATGGGTCTCTATGTATACCTATGAGTCTCTGTATATCTATGGGTCTCTATATCTATGGGTCTATGGGTCTACAGTATATGGGTATCTGTTTTTCTATGGGTTATCTATGTATCTCAATGGGTCTCCATGAACCCATTGTGGTGAGAATAGTTTTTCCCCTTTTTTTATGGCAACAAAAACACCTTTTACAAATAATCATGTCTGCATTAACCACAACACTTGTGGTCAGAATGCAGACAAAAAACACACTGATAATAAATGCATTTTCTTTGAAACTTATTGGTCCACACCAGAGACAGCTTTCTTTTGAGCCTAGTCTCAAACGGTGTTAGACCAGAGGACGCCAAAAGGCGTACAACACAGACAATGCACTATCAGCGTAATGAGAGCTCGGTGAGCATCTACATCATGGGACCTCCTTTGCCAGTACCAAAATATGAGAATAGGTTTTATCCCCTTTTTTCTGGCAACAAAAAACACCTTTTACAAGGAATAATGTCTGTGGTGAGTCTCTGTGTGGTAAGTCTACGGGTCTCTTGTGTGGTGAGTCTGTGCCTCGATGTGATGAGTCTATGGGTCTCTGATGAGTCTATGGGTCTCTGATGAGTCTATGCCTCTGTGATGAGTCTATGCCTTTGTGTGATGAATCTATGTGTCTCTGGTGAGTGTATGGGTATCTGTATGCTGAGTCTATGAGTCTCCATGTGCTCGATCCTGTGGCCTACGATTGACGGTCTTAAACCCCCCACGAGCGCCTGTTCCCCTCAGTCCGTGAACTCGGCATCCCTCCTGCCCTTGGCCAACTCGCGGGGGCTGAAGAGGATGCCGAAGGCGCGCCGGAACGCGCGGTTGAGCGACGCATAGAGCACGGGGTTCACCGCCGAGTTCACGTAGCCCAGCCAAGTCACGCAATGCCACGTCGTGCCGTCCACGCGGGGCCCGCCAGGCAGGCCATCGGCCACTGCCGCCGAGAAGAAGGGCAGCCAGAGGGCGAAGAAGGCCCCCAGGATGACGCCCAGCGTCTTGGTGGCATTGTACTCCTGCCGCCACCTCCGCGGCGCCGACGAGGACGATGAGGCCGCTGCCATCCCCTTGGCCCCGTCGCCGCCACCAGGGGGTGCCGGCGGGCGCGACGCAATGCTCCGCGCGTGCCTGCGTGCCACGCGGTAGATGCGAGCATAGGCGGCCAGCATGATGATCATGGGCGCTACGAAGCTGCAAGAGGTGGCCGCCAGCGAGAAGGTGGCGCTCATGACGAAGGGGCAGTCGTCGGGGCAGGCGAGGGCGAGCGACGCCTCGGCGCCGACGCTCTGCAGGCCCAGCATGATGGGCGCCACGTAGAGCAGCGGCCCCAGCCAGCAGGCCACGAGCATGGCCGCGACGGCGCCGGGAGTCACGCGGGCAGTGTACCTGCGGGAGAGAGAGAGGGGGGGGGGGGGGCTTGGCCGAGCATGTCCACAACGACATGCTGACATGAAGAGCCATAGACTCATACAGAGTCACACAGAGAGCCATAGACTCACACAGAGACCTTCAGGCTCACAGAGCGAGAGGCATAGACTCACAGAGTCCTGCAGACTCGCAAAGATACCCATAGACACATCATACAGAGAGCCATAGACTCGCCACACAGAGGGCCATCTCTCCTTAATCCCTCTCTTTTTCCCCACCCACCCCACCTGAGTGGGTCGCAGATGGCCACGTAGCGGTCGAAGGTGATGCAGCTGAGGTGGACAATGGAGGCGGTGGAGAGCAAGACAGAGCCATAGACTCGTCTCTCTTTCATCCCTCTCCTCATGCACGCACCTCTATACCACACCCCACCCAGCCTACCTGAGCGGGTCGCAGATGGCCACGTAACGGTCGAAGGCGATGCAGCTGAGGTGGACGATGGAGGCGGTGGAGAGCATGACGTCGAGGCACGTGTGGAGTTGGCAGAAGGTGGCTCCGTGGAGCCAGCAGCCGCGCACCGCCCGCGTGGCGCTGAACGGCACCACGACGGCGCCCACGAGGAGGTCGGCGACGGCGAGGGACAGCGCCAGGGCGTTGGTGGGGCTCCGCAGGCGCGCGAAGTAGGCGACCGCCAGCACCACGAGCGCGTTGCCCAGCACGGCGGCGGCCGACAGGAGGAGGGCCGCGGCGAGGGCAAGGGCGGCGAGGGGCGACGGCAGCGGCGGTAGCAGCGGACCGGGACCCGTGCAGTTGAATGCCCCCTGGAGGACCACACACGTGGGACCCGGCTCCGCATCGACGGGGGTGGCGGTGGAGTTGGTGTAGTCCATGTCTGCTGCTACTGCTGCGTGGTTGGTTTGGTGTTTGTCCATCCCTGCGAACGTTGGCAAGTTACAAACCACACACACAGTCACAACGCACGTTTGGTGATGGTGGTGGTAGTGATGGCGTTGGTGGTGTCGATGGTGGTGTAGTCCATGTCTACTGCTGCCTGGTTGGTTGGTTAATTTGTCCGTGCCTGCGAACGTTGGAGAGTTACAAAGCACGCATCATGTGTGTGGTGGTGGTCGTGATGATGATGATGATGACGGTGGTACAGTGAGGGAAAAAAGTATTTGATCCCCTGCTGATTTTGTACGTTTGCCCACTGACAAAGAAATGATGAGTCTATAATTTTAATGGTTGGTTTTATTTGAACAGTGAGAGACCGAATAACAACAACAAAATCCAGAACAACGCATGTTAAAAATTTCATAAATTGATTTGCATTTTAATGTAGGGAAATAAGTATTTGACCCCTTCTCAATCAGAAAGATTTCTGGCTCCCATGTGTCTTTTATACAGGTAACGAGCTGAGATTAGGAGCACACTCTTAAAGGGAGTGCTCCTAATCTCAGCTTGTTACCTATATAAAAGACACCTGTCCACAGAAGCAATCAATCAATCAGATTCCAAACTCTCCACCATGGCCAAGACCAAAGAGCTCTCCAAGGATGTCAGGGACAAGATTGTAGACCTACACAAGGCTGGAATGGGCTACAAGACCATTGCCAAGCAGCTTGGTGAGAAGGTGACAACAGTTGGTGCGATTATTCGCAAATGGAAGAAACACAAAAGAACTGTCAATCTCCATTGGCCTGGGGCTCCATGCAAGATTTCACCTCATGGAGTTGCAATGATCATGGGAACGGTGAGAAATCAGCCCAGAACTACACGGGAGGATCTTGTCAGTGATCTCAAGGCAGCTGGGACCATAGTCACCAAGAAAACAATTGATAAAACACTACGCCGTGAAGGACTGAAATTCTGCAGCGCCCGCAAGGTCCCCCTACTCAAGAAAGCACATATACATGCCCGTCTGAATTTTGCCAAAGAACATCTGAATGATTCAGAGGACAACTGGGTGAAAGTGTTGTGGTCAGATGAGACCAAAATGGAGTTATTTGGCATCAACTCAATTCGCCGTGTTTGGAGGAGGAGGAATGCTGCCTATGACCCCAAGAACACCATCCCCACAGTCAAACATGGAGGTGGAAACATTATGCTTTGGGGGTGTTTTCTGCTAAGGGGACAGGACAACTTCACCGCATCAAAGGGACGATGGACGGAGCCATGTACCGTCAAATCTTGGGTGAGAACCTCCTTCCCTCAGGGCATTGAAAATGGGTCGTGGATGGGTATTCCAGCATGACAATGACCCAAAACACACGGCCAAGGCAACAAAGGAGTGGCTCATGAAGAAGCAGATTAAGGTCCTGGAGTGGCCTAGCCAGTCTCCAGACCTTAATACCATAGCAAATCTGTGGAGGGAGCTGAAGGTTCGAGTTGCCAAACGTCAGCCTCGAAGCCTTAATGACTTGGAGAAGGTCTGCAAAGAGGAGTGGGACAAAATCCCTCCTGAGATGTGTGCAAACCTGGTGGCCAACTCCAAGAAACGTCTGACCTCTGTGATTGCCAACAAGGGTTTTGCCACCAAGTACTAAGTCATGTTTTGCAGAGGGGTCAAATACTTATTTCCCTCATTAAAATGCAAATCAATTTATAACATTTTTGACATGCGTTTTTACGGTTTTTGTTGTTGTTATTCTGTCTCTCACTGTTCAAATAAACCTCCCATTAAAATTATAGACTGATCATTTCTTTGTCAGTGGGCAAACGTACAAAATCAGCAGGGGATCAAATACTTTTTTCCCTCACTGTATATGTAGCCAGTCCACTCTGCCCCTCTCCTCCCGCGGTCGCAAATCCTAACGAGGAGAAACAGATTGGCTACGTAGACAACGACAATAAATAATAAAGTTCGGAGATGAGTAGGTGTACTCTGCATTGTGTTATGTCCTCTGGAGAGGTTGGAGCGACTCCACAACAGCTTAGCACCAGAGGGGGCAGTGGTTTGTGAAACGGCAAAACTTTATTGCAAAGCGTCCTTCGCAAGGGCAGTCGCGCATCTCCCTTAGCAACCAGACACACATCGCCCTCCCACGTCTACAACACCGCAGCTAAATTCCTCAGTAAGGAGTTAGCCCAAATGTCATTTATTTTAACAGTACGCTTATCACATCTAAGAACATTTAACATACGCGTAATGACTGGAATTAGGAAGCGCTCGCCCCAAGAAAATGTGCAGCCAAACGGACTTCCAGGAAGTAGGCCAAGGCCTACTATTTCCGTAGGGAGGCCTCCAGGATGATTGGTAGGGAGGCAAGGTTTTGAAGGGATTAGAGGAGAGGTTCAAACGGAAAAAAGGTGGGAAGCAGAAGTTAAACCTAGAGGCGACGGTTGAGAAACGTCAAGAGAGCAGGAAGGGGATTGGCTGGGGAGAAACAGTGACAAGGTTCGAGAGAAAGGGCTCGAAGGGGTAAAAGGGGAGAGCAAAAGGGGTGGTGACGTCCGGGAGAAGGGAAGCGCTTCAGGACACAAGAAGAAGCCAGGCCTAGAGTTGGTGCTGTCACAAAATAAAGAGGCTCTGAGCACACCTTGTGTCGGTGTCATCTCATCCGTATTGCTTAACAAACATTTGCATATCTAACGTAAAAGTTTGCCCAAATCATCTGCAGTGCCTCCTCCACTCCCTGGCAATACTGCATCAATGAAACAATGCGTACTTAGATAATAAGTAATTATAAAGTAATGTTTAATATCAAATATTATTAATATGTAAGTTATGGAAGTCTTTTTTACTTGCGATAAACATATGAAGCAATTATTCTTTCTTATATAATGTGACCTCTACATACCTCATGGGACCTCTTTTGCCAGTTCCTAAATATGAGAGTAGGTTTCCCCCCTTTTTCTGGCAACAAAACAGGTGTTGAGATGTTAAAACACCAAACTGAAACCTTTTACAAGGAATCATGTCTGCATTAACCACAATACTTGTGGTCAGAATACAAACAAAAAACACTGAAAATTTTTGCATTGTCTTTGAAACTGATTGGTCCAAACCAGAGACAGCTTTCTTTTGTGCCTAGTCTCAAAACGGTGTTAGACCAGAGGACGCCAAAAGGTGTACAGCACAAAGACAATGCACTATCAGAGTAATGAGAGCTTGGGGTGAGCATCTACATCATGGGACCTCCTTTGCCGGTACCAAAATATGGCGTCCTCTGGTCTAACACCGGTTTGAGACTAGACTAAAAAGAAAGCTGTCTCTGGTGTGGACCAATCCGTTTCAACGACAATGCATATATTACTCTTTGGGTCTTTTGGTAAAGTTACGTAGATAGAGAAATAATAGAAATAATAAAAAAAATCACGACATTTTGATCGCAACACAAGCAATCGTCTTCAGGTGAAAAAATACAGCCGGTGGACTGCTGACGCAGGAAGAAATATAGCGAGAGAGCTACTGCAGCCATAGGTTATAAAGGTTTGAGATGGGTACAACCCAAAGGTAAGTGGGCGGTGCTAGAGATTTGAATTGGCAAGTAAATGTAAGACCGCAGAGCTCGGTATACCTCGGCCATTGTATTGCGAGAGATTAGCATGTCACTGTTAATGTAACCCCACGGTTATGGTGCTGAAGAAGCCATTATTTTGCTCGAGATTAGAGATTAGCAGGTCAATGTGAGACAGTTCCCGCAGCAGTGGCTGTGTTAATGAGAGACATTCAGCCTATTAAACAATGAGCGCCACCACCACATCGAGGAAAAGGGAGCAGTAGCTATGTTAGTGAGACATTTAGCCTGTTAATGTAAAGACATTTAATAAGGTCATGTAACTTAGAGAGTCGGAAATAACTGCTAACATAGAAAGGTAGGATGGAAGCATCACAGCCAGTTATGACGTTACCTGGTTAATAACGTCCTTCCAATGATTGCTCAGTTTGTACCGATCTTCTCGGTTTAAATTGTGTCTGTATTTATATATCTGGATTGCTTCACAAACATGTATTTGTTGATAGCCAGTGGGTTTGCATAGTATCTTCGTCTTGGAGAAATCAAGTTCATGTGTGCCCACAGCATTAGAACAATGATCAGCCACGACAGAGGTGTTGGTCCTCCCATGTTTCAGATCCGCCTTGTGTTCGCAAACACGGTCTGAGACATGTCACTTAGTTTCCCCAATGTAACTACTGCCACAAACACAGCTTAGTTTGTAGACGCCAGGGTATTGCATGTCAGGGATCACATCCTTCACAGATGGGATCAGATCACGAATTTTATGTACTGTGTTGAATCGGACCTGGATCTTGTGTTTGCTCATCATTTTGGAAATATTTTTGGTGACCCCTGCTTTGTATGGCAGGGTGATGGTTTTGATTGGGTCCTCAGGTGGTTTTCTCCCAATGGTTGGGGTGACAGCTTTACGGATTGTGCGATCTGAATATCCATTTATCTTGAGGGCTTGGTGTACGTGCTCCAGTTCACTGGCTAGGTGGTGATGGTTGGAAATGCAATGAACCCTATGGTGTAGATTTTTGATGAGGGAATTTTTCTGGGCTGGATGGTGGTGGGAGTCAGGTTTTAGATAGGCATCTGTATTGGGTGGCTTTCCTGTAAACAGTGTCCCAATGAACCATCTGATCTCTTTTCGATTAAAACATCCAAGAATGGTAACTTGCCATCCTTTTCCACCTCCATAGTGAATTTAATGGCTGGGTGTATGGAATTTACGTGCTTGAAGAATTGGTTCAGAGCTGGCAGGCCATGTGGCCAGATGACGAACGTGTCATCTACGTACCACTTCCAAAAGGAAGGACGTAGGGTGGATGTCTGCATGGAATATGTCTCAAGGGAGAACCCATTGGGGTACCTTCAACTTGTTTGTAGAATGTTCCATTCCAGGTAAAGTAAGTGTTGGTGAGGCAGTGTCTCACCAGGGCATCAGCATTCAGCAGGGCATCAGCATTCAGTCCTTGTTGGACCAAATCTTCAATTATTGCAATGGTGTCAGGAACAGGAACTTTGGGATACAAAGAAACTACATCGAAACTGACAAGCAAATCACCTGGAGATAGTGAGATATCTTTAATTAGAGATACCAAGTGAGCTGAATAAGTACAGCAGAGGTGGTCTTGCAAATGAATGGAAGCAAGGTCTCAGACAGAAATCGGGCCAGTTTGTAGGTGGATGAGTCAATGGTGGAGGCGATAGGACGGAGTGGTGTACCTTTTTATGGATTTTTGGTAGGCCATAAAATCTGGGTGATCTAACAGCAGAGGGTTTTAGAGAGAGCCGCCTAGCTGGTTCGATTAAGATGTTGAATCAGTGATGATGTTGTTGGTTTTCGTAGCCAGGCAGTTGGTAGGATCTCTATTGATTTTGGTATAGCTGCCATCATTAAGTAGGTCCTGAATTTTATTACTGTATGTGGTTTTATCCATGATAACAGTGGCATTGCCCTTGTCGGCTGAGAGGACGACTATGTCATCTCTCTTTTTCAGTTGAGCAAGCTCAAAGCGGTCATCCTTACTGATATTGCTAATGGGTTTCTTAGCGTTTTTTAGGATTGCAGTGATTTCCGATCTCGCCACGTCTGCAGGAATGTGTCCCAAACCTTTAAGGGCTACATCGGCCTGGGAAATGATATCATCAACTGGGATGTGTTTAGGGGTGACTGCGAAATTCATCCCTTTAGCTATTACCAATTTTAGGCTGTCGGAAATTGGGCTGTTACTCTCATTGATAACAATCTTATCGACGTCTAACTTTTTAATGTGTGGCTCTGGCTTCTTCTTAGACAGGAGGCTGAACTTGGAAATCAGGTTCTCTTTGCATTTAGCTGACATCGAGGCGGCTGAAGAGGCTGTCGTGGTCTCAATCAGATGTAGACATTTTTTTCTGTCAATACAAAGTGTGATTGTAAGAGAGTCTTGTCTAAATTTTAAAGTTCAAATCGGAGCAATCTTATTCTCTCTGAAATCAGGGCTAGGTCGGCCCTGAACAAGATCCGTTTAGCATTAGGAGAAGTGACAGCAGCAGAAGTGAGTGTAAAGGCGATCGGTATTACCTTAGTGTCGCGGCATCTCTTCAGAAAAGTGAGCGACCCGATCAGATAAGCCTTCTTGTCTCGAAGTCTGTTAAAAGATATAATAGTTGTGTGGAAACCCTCCCCTTAGAAGCGGTTAAATATCGACTTAAAGCTTTTGTGACTGCAGGAATGCATACTCTTTCGGTAAAGTCACGTAGATAGAAAAATAATATAAAATCATGACGTTTCGATCGCAACACAAGCAAGCAATCGTCTTCAGGTGAAGACAAAAGCAATCGTCTTCAGGTGAAGACGATTGGTTGTGTTGCGATCGAAACGTCGTGGTTTTTTAAAGTATTTTTTTTATCTATGTGACTTTACCGAAAGACCCAAAGAGTATTTATTTTATATTATCGGAGCTAATGTAACATGCAGCTCACCGGAACGGAGTCCACTCAAATCTCAGTTGGGGGCGCGTCCCGTACTCTACATTGCACGTGGGGGCTCGGGGGTCCAATCCCTGATCACCACTTAAATGATAAGAAATAAAAACGCACCTAGCTCTCCAAAACGGTTAACAGAGGTGAGTTTACACCGGCTACATATACTTCTGCTATTTTATATTTTACCAGGTAAGGGCCTCACTGAGCAATGTAGCTCTTTTTCAGAAATGACTTGGCCCCAAATGATAGCCCAACGAAGTGGCTTGTGATCACGTGTAAATGTATAGTAGCCAAATTCTCTAAACGCGTGTTTCTAAATATGGATGGAATCCCAGGAGGACCCGGAGAAAAATTCACATGACCACAGGGAGAACATGCAAACTCAAAATATACAAGCGTTAGTGTTGGGATCTAACCCGCAAACTCCTATATACCAGGCAAGGTAGTTCACATCTCGCCACCATCGCGCCCACCTCTGAACATATATGAATGTAGACTCAACGCTACCCGTAGAATAAACACTGCCCACAGACTCCACACTGCACCGTAGACTCAACACTCCCCACAGAATGAACACTGCCCATAGACTAAACGCTGTCCATAGACCCAACACTGCCCATAGACTCAGCACTGCCCATAGACTCAACACTGCCCATAGACCCAACACTACACCATAGACTAAACACTGCACCATAGATTCAACACTCCCTAGAGACACACAAGCAGAGAGAGACAACACAGAGACACACAGAGAGAGACACAACATAGACACACAGAGACCCAATGCCTCTGTGTCGTGGCCTTAAATAGAGACGGGGGGGTGCAGAGAGAGAGGTGGGTCTGCTGGAGCAGAGAAATTAGCATACCCAGCAAGTCTGGTAAATTTTAGAGAGAGTTGTGTGGAAATCCACCCCGAAGCGGCCGGGGGAGAGAAAGAGCGAATGGACCTATAAGAGCCTGGTAAATTTTTAGAGAGAGAAATAGGCAGTTTGAGAAAACAAACTCAGCACATTTTTGGTAATGTAATGCTAACACAGTTAACACATAGCCTGGTTGATTGCGATCTCCAGAGATTGCTAAATTAGAAGTTAAGTGTGAAACTGTGCATGGAGTTTAACACGTAGGCTTTCGCGACCAATATCATCCATAGGAGGGGTTTTTTTGGGTTAAATCGAGTGAATGTATAAATGTTTGATTAAAACCCGCCACCACCCGACAGTCAACGAGTCACGGTAACAAAACATGCCAATTTGTCACGAGTACAGCACACCGGTGTGTTGGAGAGCCAGGCCACAACATTTATAATCTGAGTACAATGTTTCGCCAATAATTACAACTAGCTTCATCAGGCAACAGCCAGATTTGTGAAGAAATCCACCTGTTTCGTTCCTTATATAAAGGCGTAGATGTGGTGACCACACTTCTGCGCTCTTGTGCAAAATGGGGGGGGGGGGGGGGTTAATGAGTCAACGCACATTATGCATGCACATTATACGAGCCCTTTGATATTCTCCTTCCTGTCCATTGTGTGTGTAGTGAGTCCAACTGAGTCGCAGACGTTATTCAGAGGCAACACATTTATTCGCAACACGTATATACAAAGGGGTAACTGCCACTTTACCAGATACAGCCAAGGATGGTGACCACCCGGCTAACTACACTACACATAGAAGTTACGGCTATGATGGATCGGACCCTCACTCGGGTTCCCGGCCACGTGTTGGTGCCTCTTCACACGTAGGACGTAGAGCTTCCAGCTTGTAGAATACAGCGACCCCGGTCCCTCTCAAGGACCCACCTTATATCCTTCCGGGTCGAGGCCAGCTCCGTCCTCGGCCCCGCCCACCTTCGCGAGCGTTCTAGCTCCCTCTCGATCCCTCTCCAGAGCTCTCCCCGGACACGTGATCACCCCCTAGCCCCCCCACCTGGGGCGCTCTCTGTGGACGCTCCAGGTCACGTGTCCACGTGGTCAACCAGAGTGCCATGGCCCGGGGTAACCCTGTCACTGGGCTGACACTCTCCCGCTCCCCCTTGTGGAAGCCCGCACTACATGCTATACGTGGTGCCCGCGCTATCCCAGCGCTCACCAAGCCCCGCTAGGGCTGGTACTACACCCACCTACGGGGTGTAACGCGATGACGGTGCATCGCATGCCCTGCTATGCTAGAGCCGGCGGCCTCACTCAGCAACACACACGGTGCTGTCCGCGACGTAAGGACAACGCACGCCATGGCTCTCCCGGGCCGGCACCACACAGTGACATCCCCGATGTTACTACATCACCCCCCCCCCCCCCCTTTCGTAGCATTCAGTTGTCCCGGCTGTCAACTCCCCCTCCGAACAAACAAATTAGTGAAAGGCAAGAGAGAGAGAGAAAGAAGAAAAAAACACAGTGTGCCTCAACAATAACAAGAGCAGCAATAGATACCCCAACCCACCTGTACAAAGATTAAACTATCCACAAATGTACAAAACTAGCAGGGAAAAGGGTGTAAACCAACGAACCCATAACAACAACAAAAAAAACGCTTGAACCCTCGGGATCTCCGCTACCACCACACCTCCCACCTTCATCGTGTAACGACGCTCATGAGCTCAATTAGTGGCCAGGATCAGCCAATAACCGCCACGACTCAGACTCAACAATCCCCACAGACTTAACACTGCAACATAAATTCAAAACTGCCTGTAGACCCAACACTACACCATAGACTCAACACTGCACCATATACTCAACACACCCTACATACTCAACACTGCCCATTGACTCAACACTGCACCATAGACTCAACACTGCCCACAGACTCAACACCGCACGATAGACTCAACACCCACCTATGGGGTGTACGCGATGACATCGCACGTCGTGCTATGCTAGTGCCGGCCTCACTCAGCAACACACACGGTGCTGTCCGTGACTGAAGTACATCGCACGCCATGGCCCTCCCGGGCCGGCACCACACAGAGGCGTTGTTTCTCTGTGTCTATGTTGTGTGTCTCTCTCTGTGTCTATGCGTTGTCTCTCTCTGCTTGTGTGTCTGACTATATGTCTATGTTTTGTCCCTATCTCAAATTTAGCAATCTTTGGAAGAACGTAATCAACCAGGTAGGGTGTTGACGGTTGTGTTAGCCGACTCTCTGTGTTGTATTGCATTGTATTTCTAAGTTTACTAGGGTTCTTTTCTACCTGATGACGATTGATTGTGTTGAAATCGAAACGTATTCTATTATTTAATTGTATTTTATTTCTACGTGACTTTACCGAAAAAAACAAAGAGTAATTCCTGCAGTCACGAAAGCTTCAGATCAAGTTTCAACACTGCCCATCGACTGAACACTGTTCGTAGACTCAACACTGCCCTGAGAATCAAGACTGCCCAAAGACTCAAAACTGTCCATATACTCAACACTGCATATAGACTCAAAACTGCCTATAGACTCAACACTCCCCGCAGACTTAACACTGCACCATAGACTCAAAACTGCACAATAGACTCAAGACTGCCCATAGACTCAACACTACCCAAAGACTCAACACTCCACCATAGACTCAACCCTGCACCGTAGACTCAACACTCCCTTTAGACTCAACACTGCCCATAGGCTAAACACTGCCTGTAGACTCAAGACTGCCCAAAGACTCAACACTGCCCATAGACTCAACATTACCCATGGACTCAACACTGCCAATAAACTCAACACTACCCATAGACTCAACACTGCTCATAGACTCAAGAATGCCTATAGACCCAACACTGCCCATAGACACAGCAGCGCCCATAGACTCAATACTACCCGTATCCTCAACACTGCTTCTAGACTCAAGACTGGCCATAGACTCAACACTTTAAAATGCTATTCTTTGTTACACATAGACTGACATTAACGTGCTCATTAAAATACATATTCTAATCCTACATGAAAAATCTGAGTTCTCATGCGCTACGGAAGCTTATTAACTTTGCACTATAATCCAACATGCTAATCTAAGCTCATTTCCTTTAACATGCCACGCTATTTATTCCCTTTACACTATAATACCCCATTAACGCTACTTCGGCTGCCTTTGTTCTCGAAACGTTTATAAACTCTTGCTGGTAACAGCTTCTCTTCACAAGGCAGCAGACATCGCGCTGCTCGCAGCAGACGTCGCGCTTGTGTTGCGTTCGAAACGTGATTTATTTTAATAAAGTATTAAAGCTTTCGTGACTGCATAAAATTACTCATTGGTTTTTTCGGTAAAGTCACGTATGTAGAAATACAATAAAATTATATTAAAACAAACAAAAAAAGTTACCGTTGTAATTATGTGTAAGATGTGCCCTTTTTTGAGCTGCCGTTTTGTATTTACAAGAGGTGGTCATTTTTTGAGCTGCCGTTTTGTATTTACAAGAGGTGGTCCTTTTTTGAGCTGCCCCCTCTCTCTCTCTCTGCCTCCCTGTCCGTCTTTCCTCCCTCCTTACCTCTTGGTGGACTTGTATATGTATTTCTACTGATCGTGTACCTCGTATTTTTTATTCTATCTATGCTGATATGTGCAATCCAAAGGTTGAACACGAAATTTAACACTCTTCTGAAATTCGTGGTCCGCCAGGAAGTGTCTAACTGTGTTGTTGGCCTGACTGGATGTGCTTCACATAATGTTTTTTCAGGTTTGTTGAATTCTCGTCTCTCATCTTTTTGTTGTATTTACCTCCGTGATTTGTTATTGATACCTGATGAAGATCGCTTGCGTTGTGATCGAAACGTCGTGATTGTTTTTTGTTTTATAATTTTATTGTATTTCTACATACGTGACTTTACCGAAAAAAACAATGAGTGATTTATTTTTTTATTTCTACCTATGTGACTTTACCAAAAGAACCAAAGAGTATGGATTCCTGCAGTCACGAAAGATTCAAATCAAGACTACCTGTGGACTCAACACTGCCCGTAAATTCAACACTGCCCGTAGACTCAACACTGCCCGTAGACTCAACGCTGACCGTATCCTCAACACTGCCCATAGACTCAACACTGCACCATAGACTCAACACTGCCCATAGACTCAACACTGCCCGTAGACTCAACACTGCCCATAGACTCAACACTGCCCGTAGACTCAACATTGCACTATAGACTCAACACTGCACCATAGACTCAACACTGCCCATAGACTCAACACTGCCCGTAGACTCAACACTGCCCATAGACTCAACACTGCACCATAGACTCAACACTGCCCATAGACTCAACACTGCACCATAGACTCAACACTGCCCATAGACTCAACACTGCACCATAGACTCAATACTGCCCATAGACTCAACACTGCCCGTAGACTCAACACTGCACCATAGACTCAACACTGCACCATAGACTCAACACTGCCCATAGACTCAACACTGCCCGTAGACTCAACACTGCCTATAGACTCAACACTGCCCATAGACTCAACACTGCACCATAGACTCAACACTGCCCATAGACTCAACACTGCACCATAGACTCAACACTGCCCATAGACTCAACACTACCCATAGACTCAACACTGCACCATAGACTCAACACTGCCCATAGACTCAACACTGCCCATAGACTCAACACTGCCCATAGACTCAACACTACCCATATACTCAACACTGCACCATAGACTCAACACTGCACCATAGACTCAACACTGCCCATAGAATCAACACTGCCCGTAGACTCAACACTGCCCATAGACTCAACACTGCCCATAGACTCAACACTGCACCATAGACTCAACACTGCCCATAGACTCAACACTGCACCATAGACTCAACACTGCCCATAGACTCAACACTGCACCATAGACTCAACACTGCCCATAGACTCAACACTGCCCGTAGACTCAACACTGCCCATAGACTCAACACTGCCCATAGACTCAACACTGCCCATAGACTCAAGACTACCCATAGACTCAACACTGCACCATAGACTCAACACTGCACCATAGACTCAACACTGCCCATAGACTCAACACTGCCCGTAGACTCAACACTGCCCATAGACTCAACACTGCCCATAGACTCAACACTGCACCATAGACTCAACACTGCCCATAGACTCAACACTGCCCATAGACTCAACACTGCCCATAGACTCAACACTGCACCATAGACTCAACACTGCCCATAGACTCAACACTGCCCGTAGACTCAACACTGCACCATAGACTCAACACTGCACCATAGACTCAACACTGCCCATAGACTCAACACTGCCCGTAGACTCAACACTGCCCATAGACTCAACACTGCCCATAGACTCAACACTGCACCATAGACTCAACACTGCCCATAGACTCAACACTACTCCATAGACTCAACACTGCCCATAGACTCAACACTGCCCATAGACTCAACACTACCCATAGACTCAACACTGCACCATAGACTCAACACTGCCCATAGACTGAACAGTGCCCATAGACTCAACACTGCCCATAGACTCAACACTACCCATAGACTCAACACTGCACCATAGACTCAACACTGCACCATAGACTCAACACTGCCCATAGACTCAACACTGCCCGTAGACTCAACACTGCCCATAGACTCAACACTGCCCATAGACTGAACACTGCACCATAGACTCAACACTGCCCATAGACTCAACACTGCACCATAGACTCAACACTGCCCATAGACTCAACACTGCACCATAGACTCAACACTGCCCATAGACTCAACACTGCCCATAGACTCAACACTGCACCATAGACTCAACACTGCCCATAGACTCAACACTGCACCATAGACTCAACACTGCCCATAGACTCAACACTGCCCGTAGACTCAACACTGCACCATAGACTCAACACTGCACCATAGACTCAACACTGCCCATAGACTCAACACTGCCCGTAGACTCAACACTGCCCATAGACTCAACACTGCCCATAGACTCAACACTGCACCATAGACGCAACACTGCCCATAGACTCAACACTGCACCATAGACTCAACACTGCCCATAGACTCAACACTGCCCATAGACTCAACACTACCCATAGACTCAACACTGCACCATAGACTCAACACTGCCCATAGACTCAACAGTGCCCATAGACTCAACACTGCCCATAGACTCAACACTACCCATAGACTCAACACTGCACCATAGACTCAACACTGCACCATAGACTCAACACTGCCCATAGACTCAACACTGCCCGTAGACTCAACACTGCCCATAGACTCAACACTGCCCATAGACTGAACACTGCACCATAGACTCAACACTGCCCATAGACTGAACACTGCACCATAGACTCAACACTGCCCATAGACTCAACACTGCACCATAGACTCAACACTGCCCATAGACTCAACACTGCACCATAGACTCAACACTGCCCATAGACTCAACACTGCCCGTAGACTCAACACTGCACCATAGACTCAACACTGCACCATAGACTCAACACTGACCATAGACTCAACACTGCCCGTAGACTCAACACTGCCCATAGACTCAACACTGCCCATAGACTCAACACTGCACCATAGACTCAACACTGCCCATAGACTCAACACTGCACCATAGACTCAACACTGCCCATA